AAAGCAAAAATATAAAATGGAAACAATGGCAAATAAATAATATCTTAAAATAATAAAAAAAGTAAAATGTAAAAAAAACTTAACGTCGTCCATTCGACAAAGGCAGAATGTTGAATGCGGTTCGGTTCCTACGTTGTCATCCAAAACTGGTGCCAGTCCTCCTCAAGATTGTTGTTGAAACACAGCCCGTGTTGATGGAGAAAGAGAAAATTCTCATCAGAAAGCTTAGCGGTGTCTGCATCTCAAATTGCTTAATAAAAATAATCCTATCTACCTATTCAATTACCTTAGCTAATTTGTATTAAATTATTAATGGTACGATAGTCGAAAGTCTCCCTTCATTCTCCCTCCTTGCACAGAGACTCACCGACCATAAAAAAAACAGTTTAACTGTTCTATCGGGGATAATTCAAAATAGATTGAGACCACACCTAGCTTAACATCCAATTACAAGCCGAGCCAAGCCAAGCTGAGCCAATATGCGTAGATTTATAAGCGCTTTTGTATTAAAATTTTGCTCGCTTTCTATATGTAATATATATATATATATATATATATATATATATATATATATATATATATATATATATTCATTATAAAAGTAACAGTAATCAGTGCTACATATGTGCGCACGTAGTTCAAATTTTTCTGGGAGAATTCTAACGATGTGATTTTTTCGGGCTTTATAAGAAACTGCGATAATTATTCTGATAGGTATTCGGGCTGCTGATGAGCCCCCGGTAGGGACGAAACGCGTGTCCAGCCTATCCAAACGAATAGTTTTCTTTACTTCTCCCGCTCACTGTTTTTCTGGTTCGGCGTTCTCTCGATCATCAAACGCAACCGCAACAAGGTTATATTCAATTCCTATCAAATAAATTTGACTAAATAAAGGTCTTGAGTTGTCAAGTTGGGTCTTTCACAAGCAGGTCAGTTAAATTTAAATGAACTCGGATCAATCTTTTTTTCATCGTTAAATTCAATCAATAGAATCTACCATTCACCTAATCTTCATTTATTCAAAAAAAAGGTCAGTTATTTTAGTCAAAACACCTAATTGCAAAGAATAAATGAATATCTACTCATAAAATAAAGTTTTTCGATTTTGTAGCCGGGGCAAGAGGCGAAAACTTTTCAACATAACAAGAAATACCACCTTGTTATTATTATTATTAATATAACTATCGTCGTTATTATAATTAGTATTAATAAAATTTTTGTTTTTATTATTGTTATTGTTACTGATGTTGTTGTTGTTGTCGTTATAACTGTCGTCGGTTTGTTGTTGTTGTCCTTGTCACCAATTAGTGTGATGTGAAGCTGGCTAAACCACTGTTTGTTTAAACAACTTTCAACATACATACATACATACATACATACATACATACATACATACATACATACATACATACATACATACATACATACATACATACAACGACAAATCAAAGTGTTAATCCATTTGTTACTTGATGTTTGACGGTTCAGTATCACTCATCATGTTTTGGTTTTAACATACATACATACATACATACATACATACATACATACATACATACATACATACATACATACATACATACATACATACATACATACATACATACATACATACATACATACATACATACATACCTACAATGAGTTGAACGCATCTCAACATTTTATTTTTAGCTAGGCAGATTTTATTTTTCGTTAGATGCTTGACGAATATTTCAATTTTTCACCTAAATTAACATCGAGACGATGTCTATACATTTTCTTATTCTTACAAGTAATAAATAAATAAACTTGATTACTTATTTGAATTTTTTTTACTATATATTTATATAAAAATTTATTTTAAATCTAATTTAATTTAATTCTAAATTATTTTAATTCTAATTAAATTCTAATTTTAATTTAATTCTAAATTTAATCCTATTATTCTTAGGAAATGTCCGTCGGAGATGTCATGTTTTTTAATTCTTTTTTTTGACTCCTTCCTCTTCCCATGCTACAATTTCATGGCCCGACCTTTTCAAAGTTGCCCTATAAATTTTTTTTCACGCGTATTATATAACTACGGCAAATAATGAGTGATAAACTCAAATCAACCTACGCCAACAAAACGTTGAATCTGATTCCACTTAAAATTTTATAACTTTTTCAATAGAAATATTTTCAATTAAAAACAAGACTTTGATTGACTCAAGTTAGATATTGAAAAGGTGCAAAGCGAAACGGGATTTCATTTTACAACCCTGCCAAAGCCTGACATCCCCTATGGGATACCTCTTACCTCTTACTCATACCCCCTCCCAAAGCCTGACATCCCCTATGGACAGTCCCTTAATGTCAAGTCAAATACATTTCATGGTGAAAAAAATTATTTGAAACAGTATATTCTCTACTAAATATAAATAATTCTTAATTATAATGAAAATTATATCTTTTGAAATAATTTAGAAAAAAATATTTTAATTTCATAGTTTTTATTGCACTGACATCTAGTGGCACAACTCGGAAAAATCAGTATGACATTCAAGATGCTGGTCGAACTAGAGTGCTAGACGGAGGGCAAAGTGGCCGTCAAAATGGCGGACAAAATGGTGGACGATATGATGGTCAAGAAGAATTTTATTATCGTTTAATTAATCCGAGAAGGGCTAAAAATAAGAACAAAAATGACAATGACATCATCGGTAGCGTAAAAAACGACGAAGACATTGAAAAGAGTCCCAACAACGTCAACCATACCATAAACAACATCATCAATAACAACAACAGCTACAACAACAACACAAAAAATGTCAGCAGAGTTAAACGCTCCATTTACAATGCTAATAAAGATGATGATGGTAATGATAACAATGATGATGACGATGATGGTAGTAACGATGACGGTGATGTTGATAACGCTGCCCGTAACACTGATAATGACGTCAGTGGTGATGATGACGTCAGTGGCGATGATGACGTCACTGGCGATGATGACGTCACTGGCGATGTTGCAAGCAAAAACGAACATGACGATAACGATGGAGTTACATCAACTTTGATACCGACGTCATCTTTGAAACTTATTAAAACAACAACAACAAAACCAACAACAACGAAACCAACAACAACGAAACCAAAAACAACGAAACCAACAACGACAAAACCAACAGCAACAAAACGCGTTAAAACATCCAAAAAATCTACCACAAAACCACACAAAAAAATCACAACAACAACAACGCGTTTCATTCCCAACCTTGATGACGACAACAACGACGAAAGACATAAAAATAATAATGACAACAATGACGCAAATGATGAATATGAATTTGTTAAACACCATGATGAATCTGACGGGGGCGAAGTTGATCACCACGGAGATATAGCTCGCAAAAGCAACAATTCCACCAAGAAAAAACCCCCAACAACCTCAAAACCAGCCACAAAACACGACCAAAAATGGAAGAAAGAATTCTCTCAAGCCGTCAAAAAAATTATAGAAGAAATGGAAAAAAACCAAGACGCTGGAGAATACCTGGGACTAACCGAAAGCAAAAATGATGACGACGACGAGGGTGATGTCATTAAGAGTGAACACGTAAATGTTAACAATCGTGACAAAGATGGTGAAGACAGTGATGGTGATGGTAATAACAGTAGTGGAGATGGGGGTGTTGATGGTGATTATATGGAGGGGGGCGAGGATGAACCTGAAGAGGACAGTGAAGAGTCTCTGGCGGAAATCGTAGGGGGTTTGGTTGGCACCATACTAGCCTCGTGCATTGGGGGATTGATTAAAAAGAAACTGGAGGAAAGAAAGAAGAGGAAGGAGGAGGAAAAGAGGAAAAAAGATGAAGAAAAGAATTGCATGGAACTTGATGGTGATTTTAAGAAGCATCGTGATGATAGTGAGTTGGCTTTTCGAAATTTTAAAAACATTTGTGAGTTTCAAGTTAGTTAAATGTTTTATGGATCTAAAAACATTAATCCATGAGTATTTAAGTTATTTTAAAATTATGATTGCGTAAAACGTTCTCATCATAATTCAGAAGAACTTGCTTTAATTTCCACAACCACAACGTCAAACCACGACACGACAACGACTAATACCACCGCGCTAGTAGCCACAAACACGACTTCACCCACCACAAAATCTGCTACTATAACCGTTACGCCTACTGCTACAGCCGCTGAATCGTCAACTCCAGCTGTGACTACAACGAGCACAACAAATCAGGAGCCAGTTGCAACTGCACCAACCCAGCAAGAAAATATTGATAAAAACAATCTTGAGCTTGACATCCTGTCTTTCAGTCATTGAACCGAATGCAACTCTATCCATATCTTATTAATATTTTATCTATTGAATCAACTTTCAAATTTTGAAATGTAACAGATGATGGTAATTATATTATTATATGGTATATGATGTTTTCATTAATACAGTAGCTACAAGGAGTTAATCACAGCTAGTACTTCTATGAATGTGTTATTCATCATTCGTTTTATAGAGAAATGGATGAACGAACGAATGAATGAATGATCGAACAAACTAAGAAATGAATGAACCATTTAGAATTTAACAACCTGCAAATAAGTAGGCCTACGTACAAAATAATAACACATCATATAACAACCAGGTCCTCTTTGCTTTCGAACCTGGTTAATGCGGATATTTTTGCAGTTATGGAATAATTTTTAGCAAATTATTACTAAAACATTTATTGGAATTCAAATTATAATCATTCATTGCTCATCCATATATTCATTCATTCATTGAATCATTCATACATTCATTCATTCATTCGTTTATGGCATCATTCAATTCGAAATTCTGACATTTTTCTAACCCGTTTCGGCTATCTATTCCAAATTTTTTGGAGTTTATTTGAAATTTTTTAATAAAAAGATTAAAAAAAATCAGATTATGAAAATTAATGTTTCCTTTTGAAGTCATCTCTCAAAAAACTTAAAATTGTCAAAAATTTGGTCTTCTACCAGCATTTACATATACATATATATATATATATATATATAATAAACTTATTTTTCGAATTCATGCTGCAAATAAGGCCATATTTCGATTCCGAATGAATCATCGTCAGTGCTCCTTGTTGTATATATAGGGAAATATTGACTTTGTCAAGATTAACTTTGACGTTGTAAAAATTAACTTTGGTGTTGTAAAATTGAACTTTGATGCGAATTAGGTGTCAGGTTTCTTAATTGGCTGGTCATCTTCTTTGGTCTCCTTTTCTTCATCCATTGCACCATATTCTTCTTTGTCACTATTTACGATGCTAGTTTTTATTACTTTTTTGTTTTCGTTGTTGGTTAAGCGCCGGGTTGGAAGTGAGGTTGTCATTTTTTGTTGTATATTTATTTTTGGTTTATTGATGTCAATTAGGACTGCTTCTGCAATTTTAAGATACGTGTAGTTGCTGTTCTGGTATATTACTTTGGTGTTGCTGTCGAGGATTTCACGGCTAATTGTGATTGAGTGTGTTGAGTCCAAATGAGATTTGATAGCACCACTCTGTTTATGCATCGTAAGCCTTCTAGTCAGTGAGGTAGTAGTAATCCCGATATATCAGTCATGTTGACGTGCACAGCCGTCAAAGGGGCAATTAAATTCATATATTACGTGATTACGCTTTAACTAGGACTGCAGTTGTTTTTCAGTATTAGGTGAGACGTCTTTTTATTGTTGTAATAAATTCGGAGTTTAACTTTACTATTTGGGTTGGTTGGTGTGACATTTTTATTGATGATATGTTTAAGAATAGCTTCATCTACCTAGTATGCTATTGACATGTGATTTCTGTAATACAAGATGATGTCGTTATCTTGATTGTTGGTACTAGGAAGGTTATTGCTGTGTAGTAGTTTGTTTTTAACGATCTTTTCAATAGAGTAAGTCCTATATCCATTGTTTACAAGCAGGTTAGTGACCCTCTTTAATTCAGCGTCGCGATTTTCAATATCGGAAGAGTGTGAGTGAAGAATTTATAAAATATTGTAAAAATATGTATGTATATATATATATATATATATATTCATGATTTACTGATGTGAAAATATTTGCATTCAGAAGACCTTACGGTTGTCAAGTTAGTTATTTTTCATTTTCCATTGTTATAGTAGTACTATCAGCAGTGGTAGAAGTAGTAGAAGTAGTAGCAGGCACTAGTAGTAGAAGAAGCCGAAGTAGTAGAAGCAGCAGTAGCAGTGATAGTAGTAGTAGCAGTAGTTGTTGTCGTAGTAGTAGTAGTAATAATAATAGTAGTAGTGATAGTAGTGTGTTGCTATTTTTTTGATAAGTTAGTTGTTAGGCTGAAGATGTCTTTAAAAATTTGCCACTTTTCGACTCTCCTTACGTAATGTGCTTTCAATTAAGCTTAATTACTTTGTTTATTACTACTACTGAGTTTAATAACAAGTTTTCATATGTGTGTGTGTGCGTGTGAGAGAGAGAGTGAGAGAGAATTAGGCGAATAGTGAGATGTTTCCGATTACACTTACATCAACAAGGTTTGTCTAAAAATTGTGTTCATAAAAAAATGTTTTAAATCTGTAATTAAAAAACTAGGAAATAAATAATTGGACGGAAAAAAACAAACCGTCAACAATTTTTCAGTGAAACCTTTTTGAAATAAATTTTTTCTCATCAAAAACCAATAAAAGCAGACTACTGCAAACGCAGAGATCAGTAGCACCCAAAAAAAGTTAATTCTCACTTTTCACAATCAATGACGGACCTAGGGAGCCGAAGGGCCAATGTTCTCTCCATTTTGAACGTTATTGCGGGCCGCGGGGCCAGTGCCCCCTCCGTTGTGAGCGTTATTTGTGTTAAAAGTGGATGAAAGTCGTTGTTTTAACGAAAGAAGTAGTGATTTTGAAGAAAAAATTTATATTTTAAGCCAAAAAACAGAAGGTAAAAAAAAATTAAACCACATTGCCAGAAAAGTTGGCTCTTCCGTGAACATTGAAAAATTTTAACTCGTGAACTTATTGTGTGGTTGTGACACACGTGTAAACAGATGATTCATAAAATCGGAGATATCTAGACTTCGGATGTTGAAAGCTGCTTCTTTTAGTGCCACCATGGTTAATGTTAGTATAATTTTAATTCACTCACTTTCAAGCTATCAACAACACACACAAAACTCGCGGTATATCGAATGCTATCTAAAAAAATTACACAATTTATACCTGCTCGAAGATAATATTAAAACTATCACTGATTGTATTTCATACAGAAAAAGGTGCCTTTACATCTAAAGAACTTTTTTATCTATTTATATAAAAAGATGAAACTGCCTCAACACGAAACTGCCTCAACACGAGACCGCTTCAACACTCAAACGCTGTTTAATCTTGTCTCGGCTTGATTACTGCTACTCGCTCTTTTTTTAGTGAATAATATATTTTTAACAAATGAACAATTGAACATTCTTTAGTTTGAAGAGATTGATTAAATTTGTGAGGTTCGTGCTAAATGAAAGTTTTTTAAAGCAAACTTGTGAACTGCTTTTTAAACTTTCAACAAAAGTTTTGTAGAAAAAAAATTAAAATAAATTTCTTTTTAAAATTTAAAATTTCGAAAATAATCATGTTTTTACGTTTGTTGAAGAAAGTGAAATGTTTATCAAGCACATGAATCAAAATCATTACGTTCTTTATCACAAGAAGCAAAGTTTGTTTTCCAGCGACAGCATCTCTTAAATTAAAAGTATCAAACTACAGAACTATAAATTCATTCCCGTTGTTAACCGGAACTCATCAAGTTGCCCGTTTAATTATATACACACGCTACCAAGAACACTCGGATTGGTTAATCATTTGAGGTTCAAGTTTGCCAGGATTGAGACCTTTTGAATTTGCAAATTGGAGCAAATTTTGACCATTTTGGTTGAGACCTTGGTGGGGATGTTTAGATAGGAGTCTTACGATGTAACCACTTTTTGGCTCTCCTGGGACATTGGTGGAACATTCGTATGTGAGCACGTAATTATCTACAGCTGCTATTATGCTCAGTCGAATTTCAAACTGTAGATCAGAAAATTTTATTCAGTTAGTTTGTTTGAAATACTCTTGTTACTAAATTTTAGTATGTCGGTAACCTTTTCGTTATCCCACATATTTTCGTCATCAATCTCCTCCCACCAATCTGAGAAGGACTCGGTAGCTAACAATGATACTGATTTGAAAAAATTATTTTCAATATTTAAAAAACTGAACTAGGAAAAATCAACAAAAAGTAATATTTTGAATCGAAAAATTGTATAAATATTAACAAAAACCAACTGTTTAAAGTTCGTTCGTCCGGACCAAAGTACTCCAGCCACTTGTAGGTCACATGTGCACCAAACGGCGTATAATTATCACCAATTTTATTGATGAAATAAAAAATTTTGGAGCACCGGGCGAACCTGTAGGACTGGGGAATGTTGGATGTCTGTATCCTGGCTATTTCGTAGAGCAGTTGGTTGCTGTAATCTTTTAAGTCAACATCCATCCTTTGGCCATTTAGAACAGCAGAACATTGCAATGCTGGAAAAACTGATGGTTTTTTCGTACTAGTTTTCGGTTGTAATGTTGTTGCCATTTTTGACAACACCAATGTTTTCCAGGTTGGTGAAGCCATTTTTTGTGTTGTTGATCTTTCCGGTTCAGTTGTTGTAATTTTTTCCTTTCTATCATCAACTTCATAATCATCTGAGTAGCTGGGATACCAAGGATAGCGAGGATACTTTTCATTTCTTTTGTCATCACCGTTTCTATTCTCCATATCTTTGTAACCTGCTTGATCATCACTATTTGTTCGTCTCCACCAATCATACCAATACGGACTTCTCGTAGCATTCAACCAAGGTTTGCGTCCGTTGTCTTGTGTTTCAGGAGGCGACCCCTCCCATGTATCTTTTCCTTCAAAACGATCTTCAAATCCGGATTTTTCAGATTTCTCTCTTTCATTCCGTGGTACCCATTTTCTATTTTCTTTGTCGCGTCTCCACCACCATGGAATATCCGTAGATATTTTTTGTTCTTCTCTGCCGTCAATTTCACCATTTTTGTATTTTTCTCCATTTCCATAGCGTTCGGGTTTCCACCATGGTTTACGTGTTTGGCTGCTGAAATCATTGTTGTCGGTCGAATTATTTTTATTTTGTTTTTCATACCACGTTTGCCAATAGTTATATAACTCTTGGTCTTGCTGTTCGGAATCATCGTCGCTTGAAAATTTACGTCCTATTCTCCACTTTGAAACAAAATCATCGTTGAAATTTTTGCTTCTACGTCTTTCACTCCACCAAGATGGGTCATACGATTTATACGATATGTCATCATAATAGTCGTAAGCTAAATCAACATCATCATCTTTTTTATTCCAGTTTTCGGGTTTCCACCATGAATTATGATCACTTTTAATTTCATCAGCGTCTCTAATATTTTGTTTTTTCTTTTGCCAAAAACTAACAGGATGATTACTTTGGCCGATTTCGTTTTTACTTTCTACATCTTTGTAATTTGCTTGTCTATCGTTATTTGTTCTTTTCCACCAGTCATACCAGTAAGGATTTCTAGTAGCATCAAACCAAGGTTTGCGTTCGTTATCTTGTTCTTCTGAGAAAAACTCTTTCCATTTATCAGTATTTTCAGAATAATTTTCATATCTGGGCTTTCTTCTGTCTTTCCATGAACTCCATGGGGTATTCGTCATTTCCTTTTGTTCTTCATTATTAGTTTCATCGTGGTGAAATCTGTCATTTTTTGAATCGCTTCTAGGTTTCAGCCAAGGTTTGCGGGTATATTCGCCAAAATATTTCTCGTCATTTTCAGTTGAGGATAACTCTTCCCATCTATTAGTTTCTCCAAAATAATTTTCATATCTGGATTTTTTTCTGTCGTTCCATGGACTCCATCTTTTGATTTCTTCATCGCGTTCCCACCAAGGAACAAGCGTTACTTTATTTTGATCCTCATCGTCTATTCCACCTTCGAGAAATCTGCCGTTTTTTGAATCGCTTTTGAGTTCCGGCCAAGGTTTGCGGGTGAAGTCACCAAAATATTTGTCGTCATTCTCAGTTGATAATCTATGATTGTTTCTTCGCCAAGAAACAAAATCGTCACTAGTTTTTCCGTTTTTACTGTTTTCATTCCACCAAGGCTCGGAATCATCAAAATGCCATTTTCTGTTGCGCCATGAATGGGGAAGATCCTCTTTTTTTCTATCTACCTTGGCGTTTGTTTCGCTACGTTCATCCCACGATTTAATGTTTTGCTGCCACCAATTCCAAAAATTATCTAACTTACCAATTTCTTCATCAGTCAGGTTTCTATACCGCCAATCTTCTGACAGCCACCATGAATGATTTATATTTTCAGTATCAGATTCGTTTTTATGGTCATCGTTAACATAAGAATCATTTGATTTACTACTTATTATTTCACTCATAGTTTCTGAATCATTTTTTGAAAGCGGCAACCACCAAGGAAAGGTCGGTTCTTTATGTTTTTGCTCTTCGTTTCCGTCATGTTTTTCACGCCACTTATAATTTCTCTCGTTTCTGCCACGTCTTCTATTCCATGGGTATCTGAAATCGCCATTTGACTGAGTTTCTTCGTAACCGTCATAATCTTCTTCGTTTCTCCCGGAACGCCTCCAATACCATCGCTGTTTATTGTCGTCATTTCCACCGATATTCCATTCGCTGTGTCTCATTATAGGTTCATCGTCATCTTCAAAGTTTTCCAGCCAATATGGTAATCGATAATTATTCCTATCATCATTCTTGTGACCAGTGTTTATATCCCAACGGCTTTTCATACCTTTTCTCCACCAAGGTTTTTTATTATTGCTATCGAGCGAAGTTTGATGATTAAGGTGGTCATGTTCAGTTTTCCATGGAATTTTATCATTATAAGCGCGTTGTTGATATTTTTGATTATAACTCCACGGACGCCAGGAGTTTTTATTTTCTTCTTCTGAATCTCCCGATCGGAAAAAATGGTTTTTAGTTTCAGGAGCTATATGCTTGTTCCACGGCTTATCATTCTCCTCTTTTTCATTATTAATTTTGTTGCTGTATGGTTTATGAATGTAACATCAAAATAAGAATAAATATTTTACAATCAAAATTTTTTAATTTAAAAATTTTATTTCAAACTCACATTTTAAAAGTAGGTAATAGCGGAAAATATTGAACTATTTCTTAGTATCAATTAAAAATTCAAAATTTTTATTTTTAAAAAATTGTTATAATTACTTTTTAAAAGCAGATAAGGATGGTGGTAGAGCAAAAAGTAACGAACTCAGCTGAGTTTTGGCTACTATATCCTCTACAATGCTTTTATTATTTTGAATATCAGCCAACGTATCCACCCTTGTCTCAATTCGCTTGTCGTTAGATTTTGTTGATAGTGGAATAGCTATTGCGAGAACCAAGAACAGCGACAGTCCAACTGTTACAATTATGACAAAAGCTTTGCTCTGACCCCGATTCCTTAATGTTCAGTAAATAAAAAGTTAGTACATTGCATCACGATAATAACATTGCAATTTATTTGTTTAATCTGTAACTTTGTCAAACGAAGTGAATGTAACAACATGCAAAATTTAAAACATGTCGTTTTTAATATTATTTTGAGAATCACTATTCAGGAGAAAATTTATCATCAAAATTTTGACGAATTTTCAGAAAATATTTGGTAGTGTTACGTGAGATAAAAATTGTTTCGAACCTGCTATAATTGCTTGTGTAAGACAAGGAGTCGGAGTATAGTGGGGAACCTTCCTTTTTAGCCATGTCTGCTCTACTTCTGTGCATATCAGTGGGAATAAGTTTCACCTCTGGGTAAGAAGTGTCAGAAAAATTTTCGGAATTTTGTCATTTTAGTATTTAATTTTAATATTTATTAAATTTTTTTATTTAATATTATTTATTTTATATTATCGTACTTTAATTAAGGTTTAATTCAAATACAATTTTTAATCAGAAGCAGATTTTAAAGTTATTTGTTGAAGATTTTACAAAATGTATATCAAGAATTCAAAAAAAAGATTATCAGTTTAATTTAAGCTACATAACTGTGTCAAGATATCCGGGATAAAATTATTGATAATTATTAATATTTATATTTGTTATAATTATTAATAATTATCACTCAGTACGCAATGAACATAAATAAATGATGTTTCGTTGAAAATATCATATTATGAATTATTTTACACGCTATGCAGGGTTACATTCAATAGCATAGTAACATAGTAATGAAGAAGATAAGTGTATGCAGTGTGTACGTCTGCGATGTTCGCACTTTCACTATCTCAGTAAGTGTACTTATTATTAATATTTTTACATGTTCCTAATCCTATAATATAATTAATATCTGTTATTTTTATTCACACAAGTACACACACGCAGCCACACACACACAAGTAGTTTCCTAAAATCCATTTCGACCTTGGTTTAGACTCTAATCGTTAGATAGGTACTACTAGTCCGTCTACATCGTGAGGATGGGCAGCAGCACTGTGGAAAACGTAGACGAAGAGTATGCCGGCAGGCTAAAGAAAAAGCAGAATCTGCGTTCAATCACAAGTCAAAAGTACTTTGATGCCAAAGCTGAATACAATTACCCTGGATGCATCTTCACCTTAGCTGTCTAAAGTCTTAGAGGTCAGAAGAAAGTTTCTGTAGATGAGTTAGGATGTCTAATAATAAAGACCTGCTGATCTTATGAACAGAAGATGAGAATGAAACAATATAGATCCCAGAAAAGAAAACGCTCGAAGTCAAGGTGTCAACATACCGTGCCGATGACTAAATGGCGCGGAGAAGACGGTTTTGTGAACAGTTCGCCATCGGGCACCAGGTCCAACTTTTGGTGTATTTACGTGGTCTTACTTCAGTAACTGGGGCTCTGCTAAATTTTACATAATTCCATCGTTTCGGGTTTGGTGTTTCCTTGGAATGCCCATCCTTTTCAGAAATTAATGGTAAACAGACAGATAAATAGGTAGACAGACAGACAGATAGATAGGTAGACAGACAGATAGATAGAATGGTAGATAGATTGAGAAATTCGAGAATTGTAGTTTATGAGAATCTGTTTTCACAGAACTCTGCTTTCTGTTAAAATGACTTATGACACTAGATGCAAAGTCGAAATTTGAATGCGACTTACTAAAACGTATCAATTGTTATGAAATAATAAATAAAAATCTGTAAAAAATATCATTTAGTAGAGTATTAATAGTAATTAGTTGAACATATTTCAGCTTTATTTTAATTTTTCACTGATAATTGTTGAAAAATGACACTAAACCAACAAAACTGATTTCGAAATGAAGTTAGAAGTTTATTGAAGTATTTCTTTCACAAAATATAGGCCAAAGTATGTTTCGTACAAAAAACCAGATGATACCCTCAAACGCATATGACAATGACAACTATTAAGACCCTAACAAAAACAGATCGTATCGCCATGTCTTTAATATTTTTTCATTATTATTTTAAAATTCATGTGACAATGAATGATAAGCTTATTTCTATTGCGAAAGCAGAGGGGGTCCTTTGGAGCCGATCACCCCAGTTGAAAATTCTGCTAGGTATACAATACAATACAGTACAATACAATATAACTATAAAATAGTATAATATAAAACCGACCTAAGGTATAACAACTTTTATACTTTTTTTCATAACAGTTGAAAAACCTCATAGATACGTGAATAATTTTCTCAAAGCTAGTTCTGTTATTTATTACATGCTTTAATCACTGTTTAACTTTCAATGTATATTTTGTTATATTTGTTTAATTAATTAATTTATTTATTTATTCATTCATTCATTCATTCAATCAAGCAAACATTCAATCATTCATTCATTTTAAACTAGAAGACATAATTTGCTTCTATTATATACATTATAGAATGGAAAACATTGTAAAAAAATTCTTTTTTGCTGTTTATTAAATAAAATCGTTAAAAAAATAATTAAAGATAAATTGTATAAGGCACGATTTAAACGGTAAAACGCTGCAATAAAAAACTAGTGAATGGGAAATCAATTTAAAAAGCCATCAAATATAAGAAATATGTAAAGTATTCCTTCCAAAATCAATCAATTAATGAATAGAATATAAGTATTATTGCATCGTTTCATCATTTGTTGTTGTACGTAAGATGGGATTGTTAAACGTGAACGAAATCGTTTGGAATGAAAATTCGGAATCAATCAATCAATCAATCAATCAATTAATCAATCAGTCAATCAATCAACCAACCAATCAATCAATTAATTTGTCTGACAACCATTCAATCATACACGTTCGATTGAAATCAATAAAAGTTATGCTAAACTTGAAGCAGTTTATTTTCCACGTAATGTATGCGAATTTTATGATTACACAGTACACACCCATATGAAGGTTCATTAACGAATTGAATTTATAAAACAAATGTAAGATAATAATACAATGGGGTTGCTCATAAACTACACCTTGTTGAAATGGTTAAAGTGCCTGGCATCGCTGTTACGACGATAAAGGAGGTCACTGCTACTTTCAAGTACAATGTGTGATGTTTTTTTCACGCGTATGTTTGCCCTTGATGCTTTTGGGGAATACTTGAAAGAGAAAACTATGAAAACAATGGAGTACAGTTAAAAGTTGAAGAAACGTTTAAAAAAATCTCTCGGTTGGAAGTTAATTTTTTAGCTTTGTATAGGACTGAGTAGTAACACTAGTTTGGTTGTCAGAAGCTACGATTTTGTTGCTAGTGCTGTTGTTATTGTTGTCTGCGGTGTTGTAATAAGTATCTTCGCCTTTCAACAACTTGTTAATCAACCTCTGCGGCTTTTGTGGCACTGACTTCTGCTTCTGCAGCTGCATCAGATTTTGGTTGATGAGGTCGTCTACAATTGATTTGTTGTCGGCAGGCTCGTCTATGGCCGCACCACCTTGGAAATATTCAGGGTTTCCCGCGAACACCTGCTTGCCCTTCGTCTCCAGGTAACAGTTGTTCGCTATTGGAAATTTTAGTGGTTTTTTAATTTTTTCGATTTAAATTTTTTTTGTGATTTATAATTTAATGTAAGTTTATAATTGGTACATGTGACAATTTTAATTTTGGATGTTGTAGAATTATTTTATTTTTAGTGTAGCATTTATAATGTATCATAGTGTTAAGTGTAGCAGTGTATTTTTAATGCATCAAAAAAAATTATCACGAAATTGTAAAACCTGGAGTTTTTGAGTTTGGCTCAATGTAATCCTGAACATGAGACTTCAGATCCACAGACTCGAAATGTTCCAACCTCGCCAAATCTTTTTCGTCCAGAGATGGCGGTCTTGGCGCCTGGACAAAATTATCAAATGAATTATTCTGAAAAGTGGTTATAATTTATTTTGTGATTTAAACTATACCTACAACACTTGCATTAATTTGAGGTCGGTTCATAAGTTTATATGAAAGTAAACTATTTTTTATGGGTTCATTTTTGTCTCGCAACTTACTACCTCTACAGAAATCGAGTATTAAAAATTCAGTAAAATTGTCAACATTTTAGAAAACAGAAAACTTCATTGTTAGACGTGATGAAAAAAATTTGAATATAGAGTAATATGCCAGACTTCTTATGTAATTTATGTGCTAACAACAAAGATAACCAAAAAATTTCTCTTCTTACTTTATTAAGTATTTTAATACTTTAAGTATTGACTTTACTTATTATAAAAAAAAAACTCTTATCAAACTACTGCTTCTTGGGTAGTAGTTTGTTGAGGCGCATTTTAAGAGTCGATGCAAATGAGTATGATAGGACAATCCTTTAAGAAATTTTAACTGGAGAATTCTAAAATAACTACTACACATACACAGACCTGTCCCAAGCAGAATCCATCGATATAATTCCCAAAATCCTGATCGCTTTCGCTGGGATTGGACAAATATCTGACATTATCTTTGGAATTTTTATTTCTATTCAAGGCAGCTTCCAGGTTGCAGAAATCCGAATCCTCCATCTTTTTCTTCTGCTGCTGCATTGATGACGTCATCCAGCTGGGATCGTTGGTGTAGTCGTTTTTTGTGGCTTTCGTTTTGTCCGGAGTAAGGTAATCGGCGTCTTTGGGGGATCCTGGTTTGTTGACGTAATCGTTCGACGGTCCGGATTCTTCTTCCAGCTTTTCGAAAGGTATTTTATTTGGGGTTTGTAGTTTTGGTTTTCAAAAAATGTTAATTTTATTTTAAAATAATAGCTATAAAAACTTGTTATAAGAGTTTCATTACAATTAATTACAATTACAGCTTGATTTTATTTTTGAATAACATTTAATTTAATTTAATTTTTGAATAACAAATTTAAAAAATATAGTATTTAAACATAAATCAGAGCAAGTACTCTTCTGTAGAAATTAAAAAAAGTATATACGCACGCATAGACACGCAACAAAAAATAGACACACACACCACATCAACACACACACACACATACACATATAGTACGATCCCAATAATCTTGATCATATACTAACACTAGTCAGGTGGCCTTCATTCTTCTTGGAGCCTCTGAAATTGCGAACACCTATTTAGAAAATAATTTTTATATTTAGTTATAAATAAATAAATATTTTATAATTAGTATTATTTTTCATTTATTATTATATATTATAAATGTCATCACAGATATTGTTAATACTATATTATTAACCTAAATTTACTGCAATGATAAATCTTTATAGTTTTAACTGACTGCTTTGAACCATTCAGACGTCAGAATTTTGGAAAAAAATTTCTTCGACTCACTGCCTTCAAAAGAGCTGTTCCTCATCTCACCATCCCAATAGTCGTCACCACTGATGATGTTCTCAGCTTCCAAACCGCTTAACTGCATCTCGTTTAGGAAGTCGGTGTGGTTGTCGTAGGACGCCGTGCTCGCCAGGCGTAGCAACTTGTCGCCCTGTCGGTTTGGAAAAGTGGAAAAGATAAATTGAAGATTCAGTTCTTATGGGTTTATTTGACTTAATGCATTGTTAATGTTGAAATTTCATTCCAATTACCAAAATAATTTTCAGGACAAAAGTTTTTTAATGAACAGCATTAAAACTTCATATCCAAGTGCCAATACAGTTAATGCAAAAATGAAAAAGAGAGAAAGAAAAAGAGAGACAGAGAGTAAAAAAAAAATACAAAATGAGAAAGCTAGGACTATAACTCAACTCGCATGACAAGAGTTAATAAAATCTTTTTTTATTAATTTTTTCTAACCTCAATCACTAAGTACCTCCCTGGATCTCTTGACATGATGCTAAATTCCGTTTCCAACTCCGCAAACGATGGCCTACTCTCTGCGTGCACCAACCAACCTGTGGTCCAGAGTTTTGTAGGAGAAAATATTTGACAACATGTCAAAAAAAAAATAAAATTTTAAAACCAAAAGTCTCATATAAGTAGTCCAATACAGCATAAAATACACGTTAAAAATACCAAAATAAGGTGTAAAAAATGAATAAAAGCAACGCTAAACTAACATTTCACCATAAGCATGTAAACATCAATAGTGCAGATAGGTGGCTGGGACAACCTGTTCCCATTCTCCAGGTACTGGGCCATATCGATGGCTTTGATGTTGTCGTATGGACGATCACCACTTGTAAATAATTCCCACAATGTGACACCTGGTGGAGAAAAAAACATCGGTGAATGATGATCATTGTAAGCAAGATGGCAGTAGTGTGGGGTTTATCTTGACGGGTAATCATTTCGTGGATTCAAGTAGGTTTGAAAAATTTCAGGTTAGTCGAGAAATACATTACAAGATTTATGCTATAGAAACAAACTAATGAACGAACGACTGAACAAAGTCAATTAATCAATCAATCAAACAATCAATCAATCATTTGATCAATCAATCAATCAATCAGCCAATCAATCAATCAATTAACCATCCAATCAACACAAACAAACAAAGTGAAGTTAATATGAGAGTTGTAAAAATTCATTTTTTAAATTCAGGTACGCAACTCACCATAACTCCACACGTCACTTTTGTGAGTGAAAACGCGGTGTTCGATGGATTCAAGAGCTATCCATTTTATCGGCATCTGAAAAAATAAATATTTTGGGTTTAAAATTTTAAAGTTATAATTATATTAGTAATAAATAAAAAGAATAATAGTAATAATGAAATATTACTGCTGCTACTACTGATGCTGCTGCTACTTTTGCTACTTGTAGCTACTTTTGCTACAAGTAGCAAAAGTAGCATCAGTAGTAGCAGCAGTAGTATTTGTTTTAATAATAAAAATAACTTTTCCGCCAGTGGCCAGATAATACTCCTCGCAGTTCAGCAACTTGGCCAGTCCAAAATCAGTTATCTTCACTTGCGATTTGTTGTGCACTGAGATGGATTAAAAAAAAAAACTTTCATTTATAAAATTAAAAATATTTCACTTTTATAAATTTTCATAATAATAATAATAATAATAATAATAATAATAATAATAACTGTAATAATAATAATGTGCCAGGAACGAACCCAGTATATTCCTGGCAGCCAAATCTCTGTGTACGATTCCTTTCTGCTCCAGATAGTTCATGCCCTAGTGATGGTTTGAAACTATGTATATTTTAAAAAAGAGGTCGCCAGTCAGAGACAGACGTTATGACCAAAAAAAGAGGAAAAGAAGCCAAAAATCTTTAATAAATTCACCCCCAGGTCAAAAAAATTTGCTATTTACGTACATATGCTGCCTTTCAAAAGTAACATAGTTCACAATGCGGCCCTCACAGCAAAAAGTTTGCCCATTCCTGTTATAGGGGCAAAGCAGTGCCAGCAATCTTTCCTCCAACAGTCCGCTCATTGTTATGATGCATTTGCTAAAAATGACGGAATAATACTTAATTTAGAGGCGTACCCTGGCTATTTGGGTGGCCCATTTCAAAAGAGTTGAACTATCGGCTTTGTTTTTTCTGATATATTCGAGGAGGGATCCATTGTTGACGAGAGGGGTGATCAGCATCATCGTCCGCGCCATGCAGACGGCCAGAATTTTTATGCAACACGGGTGCGTCACTGACGACATGACTCGAGCTTCGTCCAGAAGTTCGTTCTGTAGACTGGTGGATGAACCTGATTGAAAAAACGGAAAGAATGGCAACTTCGAAACTTTGCCATTATCTATATTTTGTTTCGCATCTTCCAGGTTCAAACACTTGTTCATTCGAACAAACGGTCGAGTTCTAAAGATGCAAACTAAAATTAGAAAATATTAAGATAATCATGACTTGGTTTCAACCAGAATAACAACTACCAAAAAAACATGAAAATTTGAATACGGAACTAGATCTAGCTAGCTGGGTTTCTCAATTCTTATATAAAAAAATAGTTTAAACAATTATAAAATATAAAACAAAACGACAACAAAAATAATAACAACAAAATTAATGCCAAATTGATAGGGCCCAAAGGATAGCCCCAAATGGGCCCCGAAATACAGTTCAAACCATACCTTCGTTCAGGACCTTGATAGCCACGGCCACTTTGATACGCTTGCCGACAGGCGACCAAATTCCCTTTGGAATTAAAAACAATAAAAAAAATAATAATAGTAATAATAATAATGAGAGGTCCTCTCATTCTTCGAATGAAGATGTATTAAAAAAGTCCGGTTATGAAAGAGGAAATTACTACAGATAATCCGAAAGGGGGAGTTAAAGTTTTTTGATCACATCATGCGGAAGGAAAGAATGGAAAATCTAACAACTACTAGAAAGATTGCAGGGAAAAGAAATCGCGGTCAACAACGAACAACATTCGCGAAGTCCTTGTGTCACTTGTTGAATATCACCACATTTAGACTACTACAAAGTGTTAAAGATCGGGTTTTGGGGAGGTCGATGGTCGACAATGTCCTGAAAGGATAAGACACGGGAAAGAAAAAAAGAAAGAAAAAGAATAGTAATAATAATAACAATGAAAATAACAGAAATAACAATAGCAATAAAAATAATATGAATTTTAAAAATAATGGTGATGGTAATGATAACAGTTGATGCTATTTTTAAACGGTTTTCTATTGAAGAAAAAACGTCAAAAATGCTCATGGAAGTTTATTATGAACGTTATCAGTATTTCGGTTAATATTAATACTGACGATTACTAACTACTTTCCTATCTGTGGTTATTGTTACTTCTTCAAATTTGTCAACTAGTCTTTAATTACTCAAACTTAAATTGAATACTTAAACATACAATAAACTACCATTTTGAGTAATTTAGATAATTTCTATTATTTTTATTGCTATTGTTATTCCTGTTATTTTTATTGTCATTATTATTGTTATTATTACTATTCGTCTTCTTTCTCGTGCCTCACCCTAATTAATTTTTTTTAAATCATTTAAAATAATTTTTCAAACTTTTTTCAAACCTATGTAAATTATTTTAATTACACAATTTAATATTTGAATACTTTGTAGACAGTCCCGAACGCTCCGGATCCAATTTCCGGTCCTCTCTTTAGTTCCGACTCCTCGATCAACTTCAGGACCGACAGATCCGGTTGAACTTTTGTTAGTGCAAGAACCTTGAAGAAAAAATATACAAAAATAATTTTTGATATACATTTTATTTATTTATCATGAGTCAGAAAAATACAAAGTAAAATTAAACAACATTGAAGGGGGGGCAATGCTACGTCCACACTCACCTCCCCTGCGGATAGCCCTTCAATTTCCGCCTGCAACTTCATCTTGTTTCTTTCCAACCTGACTTTCTGCCTCCTAACCAACAGTGTGATGATCGCAAGGACCACTACCAGCAGAACGACAACTCCGACCACTGAGCCGACTATCACGTTCGTCTGATTACCTCTGCCGATGAAATGTAGTAGATGGGTGGGGTTGTTCGAGTGTTGTAGTTGTTGGGTAGAGTTGTTTTTTTATGTTAGTTTTTACCAGCAGGTCGGATTAACGCCAGAGATGTTTGTTTTGGTAATGTAAACCGAGAAATGCATTATTATGATAAATGAAAAAAATTAGGAGTGGCTATCGGTTGTGAGATGGTGTAAAGGTTAAGACGCTTGGTCTTGCTTTTGCAGTGACAGTGACTTTTGCAAGATAATTGATTAATTAATTAATTAATCAATTAATTATTTATAATTAATTAATAATAAATAAACGAAATAGAATGATTTGAAGATTATGATTAAACGAAATATGCAACTTAAAAAGGTCTAACAATCCTGCCAAGGACGCTTCGAAAGGGTTGTCCTTTTCGCAAATCTTGTGCCTCACCCCATCGTCCAATATGACGTCATTACTGTAGGGCGTTTGGTCGGGGCAGTTGTCTACGCAGAGAAACTGTTTCAAAAGAAAATTGGCGTATATTTCAATTTCTACAAGAATAACTAAGAAATTTAAAAAAATTTCACTAAAAGCTTTAAAAATTGAAGATACTTCCGAAATAATTATTTCCCCAGACGTACATTTCATGAATGTGTAATTGGAAATTTATGAATTCAAAATTTTAGTTTATGAATCATTAATAATAATTTCTGAGATTTACATTTTACTTATTTATGAACTTCGTATAATAAATCTAAACAAAATTCGACAATGGAGAGACTAACTTTAGCAGTTTCGTACAATCTGTGTGTGTCCGTGGCATTTCCTCTGCTTTCTTCGGCGGTTCCATCAGCATTTCTTCTGCTCCGCCTGGAGTCGTCAACACCCAGATTCCACTTTTCCACATCTTCCTCGTCGCTCCCACGCATCTCAGTCTTGTCATCCAAGTCAGGATAGTATCTTGAATTTCTATAGTTTGTGTGATAATTATGGTGAAAATTATGGTGAAAATCATGGTGAAAATTTGAGAGTTAGCTCAAAAGGTAGAAGCGTTATTGTCTGTTTGCCTAGTTCAAATACTCTCTAAAACTCAAAATATATCGTGTACCTTGTAAGTATGATGTGTTTGTATGTAGGTTACGTCATGTGGTGTGGATTTTACATGCAAATATGCAGGTTCATATTAATATAAAAACTTAAAATAATAATTTTAATTAATAATTTATAAAATTAAGATTAATAAATTAGCATAACGATAAAGAAGAGAATAAATCTAGAGACTTGCAGGTGATGCACTGATTGCTCTCAGAGCCAAAACAATCGATACATTGGTTGTGACAACTCCTGCAGACTTTTTCTCGATCGCTATAACTGGCTGTGAGTTTGAGGAGAAAGCGTTTAGAAAATTTATAGATTTGGTGACTAAAAAGTAGCTTGGTCATCTTTTTTTTTAAATTTAACAAATTGCAGCAATTTTTTAGAGAATGGATGAAAAACGCGAACAAAAAAAACAAATAAAATATATCAATGCGAAAATGCAAACTATTAAATTAAATTGAAATTTGACACTAAAAAGAAGACAAATGCCAATTAAATTTGATGAAATATGTAAAAAATAATAGTATTGTAAGTAGGCGTTAAGAGACCTGGCGGGCACTTGTCCACACACATCCCTTCATATTCAGCGTATTTGCACTCGCACTGACCATTATTATGACCATTGTAGGACTTAGTGCTCTCTCCCGTGCAGACCAGACATTTGTCGTCACATTTGGCACACGTCATCTGAGGTTTGCACATCACATCCAATAAAAGTTTCCAATTAGGGCAATACACATTTTTTTTTCTACAAAAATTCCACGAACCATCGATTTCTTGGTAAGATTTCCACTGTTATTTGTGAACTGAACTTGAATAAGTTTGTTAAAGAAGCCATCGTCGCACTGAACATTACCATCTTCGGACAAGAGAACGCACGTTTTGTTGTTCTCGAAGTAGAGGTAGCAGTTGTTGCACCCCCCATTACCGTACGAAGGGCCCGGCCCACTGCAGCCATCCTTGCACGTTTCTGCACAGGGCTGGCATAGTTTCGTACTCTCGTTCTTGTAAGAATTACTGGGACAAAATTCAACACACGTGGAGTCGTTTTTAGCGTTCAAACAACTGTTGCACATAGTTGGACCCTTTGAACGAGCAAATGAAACGAACAATTTGGTTGGTAGTTCTCACATTTAGTTATATCAATTTAACGTGAAGATAAAAAAAATTGACAAAAATTATTATTTTATATGAATATAGTTAAATATTTTCATAATAATTTTTTAAAAATTTGTGAAACTTCACATGAATATTTAAATGTATGAACTGAGAATGAACGAAATGGTCAGCCTGACCTCTCCTTTGCATCCTCCCGTGCACTGGGCATCACAGTCAATGCAGTTCCTCCCATCTATGAAAAGATTGCTCAGATCGGAGCACGAATTGACACATTTACCTGTTGTGAGGAAAGATATGTTAATGAGAATAATACTGAACGAAAGTTTTATGTTCTGTGGGTGATATCGGACTTGCTCTAACTGATATTTGTGAAGATATTTTTCTGCATACCCACTCAAATATTGAATCGGATTCGTAGTTTAAGTTGTAATAAAGTTTTGTCATTTGTTGCAAAGAATTTTCTAAACAAGTTAACCTTACATCTTAACTAAAGTTTAATACTGCTTATGTCTATATAACGATGTGTTTTACAAGACTTTGTACAGTTTTGTCGGCCAAAGTAAGAGGTAGTAAACAACGTAAGCTTAAAATCAGTTTCAGACGGGGTTGTGAACAACGAGTTGAAAAATTTCATCCTGCATAATTTTTTTAAAATGTGCAATTAAAATTCGCAATTAATTAACTTGACCTCCGTGGTTGAAGTGCTTGCAGGCTTTGCAGTAGTTAGGATCATTTTCGGCCCAACACAGTCCATCGCATTCTTCGTGACACTTCATTACTGTTGCAGTTTTTAGCGGTAGAAGTTTTGGTAAAAGTTGGTATAAAGGTTAAGGTGCCTGGCAGTGTTATTTCTGTGACCGGGTTCAAATGCGTAGAGATTGCCGTCTTTCATGTATGCGCTGTGCGTTTGTCGTTAATACCTCTGAGGAATGATAGAGAAAGAGTTGTGGAAAAAAGTTTGGCGTTCAACAAAAGATGATTTAAAAAATAGTGCGAAAAAGAGAGGAGATGAGATATTAGTCATTTGATATTTATTGTTTTAATGTTTGACTTCTGTGTGATACGTTAAAGAATAGATAAAAATGAAAAAAGCCAGACCAACCACAATTTTCCGAATTGTTATTGATATCGTACGTATATCCGGGATTGTCGTCAATAATGCCTGCAAATAATTCCTTGCTAGCGTAACAAAGTTTGGGATTATTTTTAAGGACCAAGACATCTCTCCCTGGATCGCTCCGGACCAATTTCAGTTTCATCATACTGATCCGGACCAGTTCTGGATTCAAGTTGATGCGAAGTCCAGAATTTTCGATGCGTTCCAAATTCGGCAAATTAACTTCCGTAAGAGCTTTCATATCTGAGACAATTAAGCCAAATCCTCTATACCCGGCTCTGTGAGATATTTGAAAATGAGCAAAACATCACGTCTTCCATGTGAACATCATAGATTCAAACAAGTAGAAGATGTAACTTTGTATGTATAGGAATGATTCATTTTAATATATGATAAAAAAAATTCATTTAGCAGCCAACTGACTCATTGTATGCTTGTCCTCTGATGACTCTCAAATTTTTCAAAAAATTCAAATTTTTCCTTGTCTTGCTGCCTTGTATCCAAACATTTCCCGTCACTTCAGTGATTTCGCCAAAAAGTGTATTCAATCGACTGTTTATCCTGCCGGTAGTAAATGGTATCGAAGGGGCAAGATGGTTAAAACTAAACCCTACAGATGAATAAAATCAGTCATCGTCATAGTCATTTTTTACTTTTCGAAAGTTTTCCATGACAACATTAGGTGGCCGTCCACAATGTTGCAACCTTCAAAATTCCGGAGCTCTTCCTCACTGTATTTTTCAATATTCTTTCCATATTCCATTTTGCAGACTGTTCGATAATGTTTCATCATATGCACTATATGTATTTGTGTTATACTATATATGAACTTATCGTATATACCAATATATAATATACACATATTTATATTTGGATATATGCATGTAAATGTGCATGTGTGTGTTCTTGTGTTTGTGTGTGTTCTTGTGCATGTGTATTCTTGTGTTTGTGTGTGTAGGCGTGTATGTGTACGTTTGTGCGTGTGTGTGCGTGCGTAAAAACTACAAATACTTTAATTTTTTTTCTATTTAGGAGATAGCGAGGGAGGCTAATGAACGAACTGACCTTTTGGGCACTTATCCATACAGGGCACACAGGTGTTGTTGAGGTCGCTGTAGAAATGCTCTGGACACGTGTTCAGGCAGTCCTCGTTATGTCTTACCGTTAAACCTAGAAAATGCATATTTAAAATAATTTATTCATACTTATACAAAGAGAAAGAAAAAATAACAGAGAGAGAGAGAGAGAGAGAGAGAGAGAGAGAAAGAAAGAGAAATAAAAAGAGAGACTTGTATAAATGCACTAAGGGGAGTACCTACCAGGGCATTCTTCCACACATTCGAATAGGTAAGCGTATTTTCCATTGTCCGTCCTCTCATACTTCATTGTGTGCTGGTTGTAGTCGTAGTGTGGTGGGCATTTGACCACGCATGTGCCAGAGTTGTTGTAGAACCTGCATTTCTAATTGTAATATTCATCGCGAGACGAGATGATGTAATGGTGGAGGCGACTAATTCTGCTTCTGCTGTGAGTGTGTTCGAATGGAAAAAAATCTCATCAATTCACATGTAATCATATAGGTTGGATCAAGACAGCTTGACGAGAAGAGCCAAATTTTTAAAAATGTTAGTATTTTTATAAATATTATTATTATTAATGTTTGAGCTCTTTGAACTCTATGAAGACATAAAATCAAATCAAAATAGATAAATAAAATAAAATAAAATATAATAAATTGTTAATATTGTAATAAATTGTTAATATTGTTATGCACGATCCTCCCGTGCTCCTTGCCAAAGGTAAGTGCATAGGAGTAAGAAATATATTTTAAAAATAGTTTACGCAGTGTTCCTATCGCAATAAATTCCGTATGAGGAATAATAATAATTATTATTATTATTAATGTTATAATAATAATAAAATTATTATGATTTACTCTCCTCCAACTGACCTCACACCGATCGAACTGTCCAGTGCATCCGGCCGCGCAATCCTTGCTACAACACTGGCTGGGTTTGTTGGGCACGCATCCAGTGGCACACTCCGGATCGCATACGACCTTATGTACTGATGGTGATGAATGGATGGATGAATGGACGGACGGACGGACGGATGGAGAGATGGATGGATGGATGTATGGATGGATAGATGGATTGGATGGATAAATGAATGAATGGATAGATAGATATATAAATAGATAGATGGATGGTTGGATACATAGATTGAGATGTACACATAAGACTGTGTGCTGATTAAGGTTAATGGATTGAATGAATGCATGAAAGAATGTTTGGATAAATGTTAAAACCAATCAATCACATGATCATACCATTAAGTATTACTTTAATGCATTGAGAAAAACTCAATATGTAAATAATATTTATAAATTCACTTGAAACTATTTTTCAAATTAAATTTTTAAATATAAAAATAAATATTAGAAAATAATATTAAGAAGAAACTGACATGTCTGACATGTGTTTTCATCCCAGCACGACTCACACGAAGGACAAGCTGAACCTGACAGGTTCGAGGGAAATAAAAATAAAATTATGGATAAATTATAACTTAAAATGTTGATAAAATACAATTCAATCATTCGATTATTCTTTTGTACATTCATCCAATCATCAATCTACTCAATTTGCTCATTCATCAATTCATTGACATCCATTTAATTCAGTGGCATATCTATCCTTCGATTCACCTCCGTTCATCCAACTATCCAACAACTATCCAACAGTTTATCCATTTTACCAACAATCATTCATTCATCCTCATCCTTTCAATAATTCATCCGGTGAAACTGAAAACAATCCTTGATAAACTGACAATTTCTGGCATCTATATCAGTAATGCTAATCGTTCTCTTGGTGTTGATAGCAAAGAAATCATTCCAATTGATTGTGTTGGCAAAGCAGAGCCTGTTGTTTTCTCTTATTACAACACCCTGCCTTTGAATTTCTGAAGGAAAATATTAGAATGATTAATATCGTTATTAAGATAACTGCCACTACTACTGCTTGATGCTGCTGTGGCTACTACTATTGCTACAACTACTACTGCTGCTACTATTGCTGCTGCTACTATGACTACTAATAATAATATTTTTATTAGGACAATAATAGGCCTTACCTCTCAAATTTGGAAAAGATATTTTTTGGAGGTTTTGGTTGTATGCAATATACAAAGCTGTCAAATTATAATGGTATAATATAATATGAATTAGGATTTGTAATTATAATATTTTTTAATCAATCAATTATTCATTCATTCATTAATTCATTCATTCATTCAGGCGGTTCGGCAGCTACGTTATGTTATTATTTTAGCGAAGATCTCTTTGCATTCAAACCCGGTCAGTGCAGCAGCAGAACCAGGCATCTTGCCCGTTACGCCAATAGACTCACCAGCTTTTTCCATGAAGTTGTGTCCTCTGATGATCTTCAAGTTCTTCATGCTGAATGCTGTCATTTCGTGGTTTAAAGCAAACAACACAGCTCCGTTGACCTGTAGTATTAATAAAGATTCATCAATTCATTCATTCATTCATTCATTCATTCATTCATTCATTCATTCATCCATCCATTCATTCATTCATTTGTTAGTTCGTTCATTCGTTCGTTCTGTCATTCATTCATAATTTTTTTTACATTTAATTGAAAAAAATTAAAAAATTAAAAATAAATATTGGAACAAATTACGTGCAAAAATGCCAACCTCTTCAATTGAATCTAGAAATGATAAATCGTACGAGCCATCTAAGCCAACAATTTCTACGTTGTTTCTAATGACAGTGCAATTTGCATATGTCTTTTTAAAAAGATTGTATCTGAAACTGTAATTTTTTGGTTGGTTGGTTAATTGGTTGGTTGGTTGGTTGGTTGGTTGGCTAGTTGGTTGGTTGGTTGGTTGGTTGGTTGGTTGGTTGGCTGGCTGGTTGGTTTGGTTGGTTGGTTGGCTGGTTTGTCGGACAGTCGATTGAATGGTTGGTTAAAAAACAACATCATCATCACCATCATCAACAACATCATCAACAAAACATACTCATCATCACTATCATCATCATCAACAACAACAACAACAACATTATCATCAACATAAACATCAGCAACAACAACATATTCACCATCATTATCATCAACAACAACAACAACATTATCATCAACAAAAACATCATCATCAACAACAACAACAACA